TCTGCCAAACTTCTCATATTACTTCTGAATAGGATGTCTACTTAATAAATTGTATGAAAATTGTGGAAATAATGGTTCAGATCACTCAAAACACATTTGGAAATGGAGGCGCCCATATATGGGCAGTGATGGAGTCTGGGTTGTGCCCTAGTGGAAGTGTTCGGTACTGCGCCCAAACACACTCTCACTGAAAGCTAATTTTTTGAGATATCAACCTAAAATTTGAAACACAACTTGTTCAGATTTTTGGCTTTTATTTTTTTGTGTGCAGTTTTAGTCGCCCAGGTTTTTGAAAATATATATTTGATATAAAATATGAATAATTGAATTTTACACATTGTACATTTTCATAAACTCAAACTTCTATAACTTTTTTTCTGTTTCACTTTCTTAATTTATTTCACTTCTACAAAAATCTTCCTTAAAACAAGACCGATCTTACGTCTATATTCCAAAGCATTCTTGAATTACAACCATTTAAGTTCGAAATGTGCATTTTCATGTTTATTCAAAAAAAGGGGGGTGACACTTAAAGGTTTAAAGGTGTTCCCTCCCTCAGATCCTCCATTCAAACTACCTCCTGTATGTAAAACAAGAACCCATTCAAGCTGTGTGTGTGAACCAAAGTCTAATTATAATGACAGACAACACCATTTGGTAAAGAATATTGAATATCTGGGTTTATAAGGAAAAGGAGCAGAAAAGTTCGAGGAGTCTGTAGTTTGACTGCCCACACAACCGCTGTGTGTAATTTTCGTTGCCAGGTAATAATTTCTCCAAATTCCTCGATCTCTGAATTGTTGTTATGATATGATTAACTGATGATTTCATGAATTTGATTTTGAATTATTGCTTCATTACCTGGTGAATAAATTGTAAACGTTTGATTTTATTCCGACTGACTCTAAGATTATTTTTCCCAAATAGATTATTGGAGGATTCGTATACTTCCACAAGTTTTGCGTCAGATTAGTGACGACTAATATCCAGTATCAGTTCAAGCGTGCTTGGGTGCAGAGACAGCTCCGTCTAATAGCAGCAAATGCTGTTTGACCAACTTAGATCTGGGTGTGTCTCATTTACCTCTGTTTTGGTTTAATGTTACTTTTAATAAGCGTGCGTGAGCAATCACAGGCTTGGCCAATCAAAAACCATTTTGAGAGAAGTGAAGTTGATTGATTGGTGTCTTTTAATGCTGGCCAAAATCTCTACTGAAGTAAAACCAGGGTATCCGCGGGGTCTTGAAAAGTATTAAAAGGTGATAAATCAATTTTGGGAAAATTAAATCTTAAAAAAGTCTTATCACGGCTTTATAAAGTCTTACATTTTGAAAGTATTTTTTCTGAATTAGCTGTCCAACAGTTTGAGTCCCAAAAACATCGTAAAAGTGTGTGAATTTAGTCATTTTTATTAAAAAAACTTTCCTTTGATTTACTATCCCAGCCTATTTGATTTTTTTTTTTTTTTTATCAGAGTGGTCTATAGTCTTTATCACAAACTAAAACTGTTAAGTTAAAAGTATCACTGATGTAAATGGTTACAGCTTGAAGTGGCGGTGAGGTATTAAAAGATATTGAGAAGGTCTCGAAAAAGTCTTGAAAAGGTTTTCAAATTAACTTCCAGATTCCTGCATATACCCTGATAACGATTGAATTAAATCCACGAGGAGGCATTTCAAGGGGGTTATTAAAGTATCTTTTGATTGTGTACGTGTGAATACGGCAAATCTCAGATATTTAGCCAATCGCCTCTGTTTGATGACTGGAAACTGGCGAGATTGTGTCGGAGACCTGCGAAAGACACACAGACCTCAAAGTGGTATAGTTTCCTGATCTGAGCGGGTAAAACATAATTGATAGTTAAAAAGATTAATCAAGCATTTGTTAACTTTTGATGATACACAGATATCATAAAAACATTTTTTAATTTATGGAGTCAGATGAAATAACGAGAAAATACATATAAAAACAGTGTTCCATTTAATCTTGTTGTGTTGCATAAAAGAAAAGACAGCAACACGCTGAGGCCTCCCTCTCCGCTTCCGGCTCATGGGACCTTATTTCGGGAAAAAATATGTAGTCAATGGCGAGAGACAACTTATCTTTAGTGATGTGCAGATCGAGGCTTCGCGAAGCAATGAAACCGTTGAACCAAATGTGCCATATTGTGTCAAGGCTTCGAATCAATCAGACACCCGTCTCAACGGTGACACCTAGTGGTCGCTTGGAGTTGTTGATCTGAAACAACCTTGACAACGAGCCATTAAAAAAATGTTTTTTTATTTTATTATTGTAGCTATTTTTCTAATATGTGAAGCTTGTAACCTGTAGGCTCCTCACTGTGCAGAATGTTATTTTGGTCCTGAAAAATGAGTATTAGTAAAACAAATCAAGCCACAATGTCTCACTTTTTTTAGAGATTCTTATTAAAAATATTAATTTCTCTTCTTTGGAAGGACTTAGCCTACTTTTTTTAACAGATCATTTCTCCAGTTTTTGAAAAAATCCTCCCACAAAAACCCACGAGGTCAGGATGAGTTGACTTCACTTTTATACAGATGTGTGATTGTGTGGTCTGTTCCCGACCCTGTCAATCAAACGCTGAATCGGCGGAGCACGCCACCTGTCGAAACACTCCGAAGCTCCATTTAGCCGTAGTCACGTGACATGGGTGTTTTGAATCACGCTTCGGATCAGTGTTTCGAAACATCTGCGCTTCGGGATCTCGCAAAGCTTCGGAACGACAGTTTCGCGTCAGCCATCCCTACTTATCTTTTTATTCCGTCTGAACTGTGCCCTGAATTACACATAAGATGTTTGTCAATTTAAAAGATAATTCTGAAAGTCAAGAAAGTCGCAGTTTGTCATAAAACAGAAGAGTAACATTTAGTTTTATGTGAAAATCGCTCAATGAACTACATCTCCCGGGAAGCGAAACAACGAGCGAGATCCGCTGCTCGTGTGTGTGCAGTCTGGTACAAAACACTCAGGCATGACGGCGTAACGTTACGATTATAACGCAAGACTTTAGAAACAATGACAGACGTTAGCTTCAGTAAAGTTAGCTTCAGTAAAGTTAGCTTCAGTAAAGTTAGCTTCAGTAAAGTTAGCATCAGTAAAGTTAGCATCAGTAAAGTTAGCTTTAGTAAAGTTAGCATCAGTAAAGTTAGCTTCAGTAAAGTTAGCATCAGTAAAGTTAGCTTCAGTAAAGTTAGCATCAGTAAAGTTAGCTTCAGTAAAGTTAGCATCAGTAAAGTTAGCTTCAGTAAAGTTAGCATCAGTAAAGTTAGCATCAGTAAAGTTAGCATCAGTAAAGTTAGCTTCAGTTAAGTTGGCATCAGTAAAGTTGGCATCAGTAAAGTTAGCATCAGTTAAGTTGGCATCAGTAAAGTTGGCATCAGTAAAGTTAGCTTCAGTAAAGTTAACATCAGTAAAGGTAGCATCAGTAAAGTTAGCTTCAGTTAAGTTGGCATCAGTAAAGTTAGCATCAGTAAAGTTAGCATCAGTTAAGTTGGCATCAGTAAAGTTGGCATCAGTAAAGTTAGCTTCAGTAAAGTTAACATCAGTAAAGGTAGCATCAGTAAAGTTAGCTTCAGTAAAGCTAGCTTCAGTAAAGTTAGCTTCAGTAAAGCTAGCTTCAGTAAAGTTAGCATCAGTAAAGTTAGCTTCAGTAAAGTTAGCTTCAGTAAAGTTAGCTTCAGTAAAGTTAGCTTTAATAAAGTTAGCATCAGTAAAGTTAGCTTCAGTAAAGTTAGCATCAGTAAAGGTAGCATCAGTAAAGGTTGCATCAGTAAAGTTAGCATCAGTAAAGTTAGCTTCAGTAAAGTTAGCTTCAGTAAAGTTAGCTTTTATAAAGTTAGCTTCAGTAAAGTTAGCTTCAGTAAAGTTAGCATCAGTAAAGTTAGCTTCAGTAAAGTTAGCTTCAATAAAGTTAGCATCAGTAAAGTTAGCTTCAGTAAAGTTAGCTTCAGTAAAGTTAGCATCAGTAAAGTTAGCATCAGTAAAGTTAGCTTCAGTAAAGTTAGCTTCAGTAAAGTTAGCATCAGTAAAGTTAGCTTCATTAATTGAGAGAAAATGTGCGCCTCTGGGGTTTGTAGTCTTTGTAATTACGTATTTTCACAGTCTTATACCTCAACAGTTTTACATCAAACTGCGACTTTCTTGACTTTAAAATGTATCTTTTAAATTGACAAACATCATATGTGTAATTCAGGGCACAATTCAAACGAGATCAAAATATTTGTTGTCTCTCGCCATTGACTACCATACAATATTTTTCCGAAATAAGGGCCCATGGTGGTCGACCGGAAGGGGCGGGGCTTAGGCTCTCTATTATTGGAAACCCTCTTTGGACCAATAGACGGGCTTACAGCTTTGTATTGTGGTATTCCGCCATGTTTCTCACTGACACGCTCCCAACTCGTAACAAAAATCCCATTAGAAAATAACACTTTCTGTCATAATCATTTGTTAACAAACAAGTATTCATTACTTCAATGAGCTCATTGTTTCTGCCTTAAATTATTACATTGTTTAAATTAATACATTTTTAGCTAACTGTGATTTGTATTTATACATTTCTGAAATACATAACTTAGACAGTTCTCTCTGATAATAACAGATCACTGTAAATTGTAATGTGGACTCATGCACTTTCTGTGAAGCTGCTTTGAAACGATGTGTATTGTGAAAAGCGCTAGGCCTATACAAATAAATGTGAATCAAATTAGGACATTGTGGTGGCGTTCATGTCTGTTCAACACGCAAATATGATCTTTCCAACATGACTTGAACGCTGTGTCAGACTCGCGTACTGGAGCTCTGAGCGAAACTTGAGTTAGCCAAGCTCATGCTTATTTGCATATTGCAGTGTTCATGAAATGGAAACATTTGCCACTAATGGTAAATCGCAATGGTGAATTGCCAATATGTAAATTAATTCTTGTTGCTTATTGTCCATTTTGTGTCTCATGATAACTGTATTTACATGTGGTGTTTCAGGAGCGCTGAAGAGACGAGATCAGTCTTCCAGAAGCATCGTCCGACACACGTCATTCATTTGGCCGCCATGGTGGGCGGGCTCTTCAGAAACATGAGACAGAACCTGGACTTCTGGGTAATTGGACATATGTGACCCTGGATCACAAAACCAGTCACATGTCGTACGGTTAATATATTTGTGGCAATAGCCAACAATACATTGAATGGGTCAAAATTATGGATTTTTATTTTATGCCAAAAATCATTAGGATATTAAGTAAAAAATCATGTTCCATTAAGATATTTTGTAAATGTCCTACTGTAAATATATCAAATTTATTTTTGTGAGTGGATGCAGAAACATCGAGGACTTCATTTGGAAAACTTTAAAGGCGATTTTCTCAATATTTAGATTTTTTTGCACCCTCAGATTTTCAAATACTTGTATCTCGGCCAAATATTCAGTCCTATCCTAACAAACCACACACCAATGAAAAGCTTATTATTCAGCTTTCATATGATATATAAATCTCAATTTAAAAAATAATTACCCTTATGACTGGTTTTGTGGTCCAGGGTCACATACAGTATGTAATAAAAGCTTGGAAATATCACTGTTGAATAATTAAACTGCACATTGACTGTCTTTGTTTGTTGTTTTCAGAGGAATAATGTATTTGTCAATGACAACGTGCTGCAGACAGCTCATGAGTTCGGGGTGGTGAAGGTCGTTTCTTGCCTGTCCACGTGTATTTTCCCAGATAAAACCACCTACCCGATAGATGAGACCATGGTAAACTCTCTCTCTCACACACACACACACACACACACACACACACACACACACACACACACACACACACACACACACACACACACACACACACACACACACACACACTCTTGTACATCTATCTTTATGAGGACATTCATTGACACAATGCAATCTCTAGCCGCTTACCCTAACCTTACTCATCACAACTAAGTGCTTAACCCGAACCCTTACCCTAAACCTACCCTTAACCTAATTATAACCTTATCCCTAAAACCAAGTCTTGACCCTCAAACAGGCCTTTAAAGGGGTTTCAGAAAGTGAGGACCGGCCAAAATGTCCTCACTTTACTCTCTTTGTCCTCACTCCAATGGTCTAAAACTCAAACTGGTCCTCACAAAGATAGTTGTACAAGTACACACACACACACACACACACTTTAATTCATACTTTACACGTGACGTCACAAGTACTGGCTGGCGGGCAAGAACATCGTTCTCCAGCAACGAAACCCAGTAAACTAATCAAGGATCTTGCCAGGACGTCGCCAGATTTACTATACAAAAGTTGGTGTTTTGAGGTTTGTGATATCTATGGTTTTCAATGAGAACCAGAGATGACCCAACAGTAGAGCTAGATTATTTACGGAGGAATTATTACTGCTCGATTATCTTAAAAAACCTTGTCTGCTTTACACAATTTAGCTACCTTGGAGTTAATCCTATTTCTAGTCCATAGTTATGCAGCTAGCTCGCTAACAGACTTGATAGCTACTAAAAGACCCATAAGACCTGGAACTACAGGACTCATACTGTAACTTTCATAACTCAGACTTCCTCTGCATTAGAATCCAGTGGGTCCGGTTTATGTTCTACAAGATCATCCACTGGTATTGTGTTATGATTTGAGGGAGATGATGATTAGACACTTTTTGTTTGGTATCGTCTATATTTTTGTCATCTATACAGACGTGTTTCTCTCTCGCTCTGTTTCAGATCCACAACGGTCCGCCACATGAGTCTAATTTCGGTTATGCCTACGCCAAACGCATGATTGATGTCCACAACAGGTCAGCGTCAAAGTTTATTGGTCATGAGTTTTTCTTGGGTCTTTCACATAAAAGTCTGTTACATCTAAAAAAAAATCAATTTCCCTGGCTTTTCATATCATCAAATGAGATTTAAACATTACCGTAGTTCATGGTTATTTTTCTTTATTTAATTTTTGTGTGTAATTCTTATTCTAATTGGTGAATTTCATTAAATACCCATTACTGTTGTAATGATCCACTGAAGGCAAGTTGTATAGAGAACCCAAGTGCAGTTTATTTACCAATTTAACAAAACAAAAACATGGCGTGGCATGAAACATGACGCTTAGCGACAGAGATTACAGTGAAACAAAACTTGACAAAGGCACATGGCAAACATGAGGGCTTAAATACACAGACTAATGACAAGACAAAGGGACACATGTGAACAATGAACAGACGATTAACCAATGACAAGACACATGGCAGGATCACATGACAAACAGGGAATCACATGACAAGACAGAAACATCACATGAAACGTGACCAAGACAAGACCAAATCGTGACAACTGATAAAACATTTTTTTTTACATTTAAATCATCATAAATTAAATTTAGCACAATAAACACCATGTGTAATATATATTTAGCAATTTATATAAATATTAAAAAATATATATGTATACAATGAATTATTTTTATGACAACAATGAAAATTTGTGAGGAATGTGTGTAATTGTCATGAAAATAAGGTCAAAATGTATGAATTATGAGATTTGAAGTGTTTGTTTTGTAAGAAATACATCACAGTGTGTTTGTCCATTAGGGCGTGTTTTCAGCAGTACGGTCGGAGATACACAGCCGTCATCCCCACCAATGTGTTTGGACCCCATGACAACTACAACATTGAGGACGGTCACGTGCTTCCAGGGTTGATTCACAAGACATATCTGGCAAAGAGTGAGACGCGTTTAACTTTCTTCAAGCACAGCTGCCAATCATAACTCACGCCTGTTTTTATAGCATCAAATAACTAACTCAAACCAAACTTATTGGAAAAAACAGTGTGATGAGAAGAACCCAAAATTACAGAAATCATCTTTAAGGTATAATTCGATTTTTTTTTTTTTTTTGGCTCCCATTCGGAGGGGGCGAGGTTTATAACCTATATTGCAGGAAGCCACCAGGGGGCGATCGAAATGTTTTGGCTTCACTTTTCTGTGTGTGACACACTTGATCCAGAGCCTCATTCAAGCAGAGTTCTGATCACATGTTAAACGTGTTTCGTGTGTTTGTGTGTTTTGTAGAGGAAGGTAAACCTCTGCAGGTCTGGGGTTCAGGTCGTCCTCTACGGCAGTTCATCTACTCTCTGGATCTGGCTCGTCTGTTTCTGTGGGTTTTGAGGGATTATGACGAGGTGGAGCCCATCATTCTGTCAGGTACTCGACCCGTGTTTGACACAGTGTTCCCGCAGTTCCTTACAAATTCAGTTTGGTCAAATTTAAAGGGGTAGTTAATAGTCATGAGCGTAGGCTATATTAATGCCAATATTAAACACAAATTTGGATAATCTAAAATCATTTTTGCTTATTCGTATGGTTGAATTGGATCATGGAAGGTCAGCAGGAAAGACATTGGTTAATAAAGAGATTAAATACAAAGTATATTTGTGTTATTTACATATTTAATATTTGCAGGGTTGCATTATATTGCATTTGACTGTTTTCATTCATTTTAAGGAATACTGAATCTATACGCTGAGTTTCGGTACATTTTTGTGACGCGCTCCAAAAAAAAAAAGGAAACAGACGGAAGAAAGTGGCATTTTGTTCGTTGTTTTATTTTACAAAACACAATATTTTGTTTTTATTGTGAGTACACAAATGACAAAAAGACCATAAAAAAACACCATAAATGACTAAGTATTTTAAGTTGGTATTGTGCGAATTTGTGTCGTTTCTTTTTCTCGCTCATCTTTCTGTGATTTCTTGAAATATCGCAATATTGAACTTTGTGTATCCGCCATTGTCACCGCATGTTAACCTCTTAAAGGGTTAGTTCACCCAAACATGTAAACTCTGTCAGTAATGACTCTCCCTCATGTTGTTCAACCCCGTCAGACTTTCGTTCATCTTCGGGACACAAATGAAGATATTTGTGATTAAATCTGAGAGCTGTCTCACTCCTCCATAGGCTTCTATTGTAATTCAAACTTCCCGGCCCAGAAAGTTACTAAAGACATCGTTAAAATAGTCCGAGTGACTACAGTGGCTCATCCTTAAGTTTATCAAGCGACGAGAATACTTTCTGTGCGCAAAAAACACACAAAAATAACGACTTTATTTAACTCTTCATCTTCTCTGTGGGCCTCGAGTGAGTTCTCGTAGTGTAACAGCGCAGCGCTTCTGTGGTGTACGTCTTAAGTAGGTTGAGCCACTGTAGTCACTCGGACTATTTTAACGATGTCTTTAATAACTTTCTGGGCCGGCGAGTTTCAATCCCTTAGAAGTCTATGGAGGAGTGAGACAGCTCTCAGACTGATGACCTTAGAAATTTGATAAGGTCCGATGAAACGAGGAGCCAGCTTGCGGGAAGTGGCCTGGAGAGGCAAATTGAGGGTGGAAAGCCACACTCTCTGACCACAAGTATATCTGGGGCTCCTGACACGACGTTTGTTTGCGGCTCTTTGAGTACGAGCCCTCGAACGACAGAGGGCTGACCTAACCCTTCTCCAGGTGCGCTTACAACACTGGATGAAAGCCTTTACTGACGGCAAATTAGAATCAGCGTCCTGAGAGGAGAACAGGGGAGGTTGATACCCTAAGCAGCAATGGAACGGGGAAAGGCCAGTAGCGGACGTCGGTAGAGATTTATGGGCATACTCGGCCCAGGGCAGTTGCTCAGCCCAAGTTGAGGGGTTGCAAAAGGCTAAGCTACGCAGAAGACGACCGACGATCTGGTTGGTGCGTTCAGCCTGACCGTTAGTCTGGGGGTGAAAACCAGACGAGAGGCTGACGGACGCACCGATTAAACGACAAAACTCCCTCCAGAACTGTGATGTGAATTGAGGTCCCCTATCCGAAACGACGTCTGAAGGGAGACCGTGAATCTTGAAAACATGATTGACCATAATCTGGGCCGTTTCTTTGGCAGAGGGAAGTTTAGCGAGAGGAATAAAGTGAGCGGCTTTGGAAAAACGATCCACGACAGTCAGGATGACGTATTATCAGCCGACGAGGGAAGACCAGTAATAAAGTCCAAAGCGACATGGGACCATGGACGAGACGGAATAGGAAGAGGTCTAAGGAGACCAGCTGGTGGGGAATTACTAGACTTAGTCTGTGCGCAAACGGTACACGAGGCAATAAAGCGTCGTGCATCTCGTTCGAGAGTGGGCCACCAAAATCGCTGACGAACGGTTGAGAGTGTGCCCCTAACGCCGGGATGGACAGTCAATTTAGACGAGTGAGCCCACTGAAGTACCGCCATACGCGCAGTAACAGGTACAAAAAGAAGATTCCTAGGAACGTTACGCGGAGCGACGGAGCGGGACAGAGCGCGCTTCACTAGTCTCTCGATTCCCCAGATAGCAGCACCAATAACTCGACCTGGCGAAACGATCACCTCGGGAGTCGAGGGTACATCTGTGGGATCGAAGAGACGAGAGAGAGAGTCAGGTTTTATGTTCTTAGAACCTGGGCGGTAAGAAATTGTGAAATCAAAACGACCAAAAAACAAAGCCCAGCGAGCCTGACGAGCGTTAAGACGCTTAGCGGAGCGGATGTACTCTAGGTTTCTATGGTCAGTCCAGACAACAAATGGAACGGTGGACCCCTCTAACCACTGTCGCCACTCTCCTAAGGCCAAACGGATGGCGAGTAATTCCCGATTACCAACATCGTAGTTGCGTTCCGCGGGCGAGAGACGGTGTGAAAAGAACGCGCAAGGGTGAACCTTGTCGTCCGCAGGAACGCGCTGGGAAAGGATGGCTCCGACGCCCACCTCAGAAGCGTCAACCTCGACTATGAATTGTCTAGTAACGTCTGGTGTCACAAGAATGGGGGCGGAAGTAAATGGAGACTTTAAATGATTGAAAGCCTCTTGAGCAGACTCTGACCATTTAAAGCGCGACTTGACAGATGTGAGGGCTGTAAGGGGTGCGGCTACTTGACTAAAGTTACGTATGAAACAGCGATAGAAATTAGCGAAGCCAAGAAAGCGCTGAAGCGCAACACGAGAGTCAGGAACGGGCCAATCGGTGACCGCCTGCACCTTAGTGGGATCCATACCAATGCCCTCTGCTGAAATTACGGAACCGAGAAAGGTGACTGATCGTTCGTGAAAGGTACATTTCTCCGCCTTAACAAAGAGACGATTCTCTAAAAGGCGCTGAAGGACTCGGCGTACGTGCTGTACGTGAACCTGGAGAGAGGGGGAGAAGATCAAAATGTCGTCAAGATACACAAAGACGAAGACATTAAGCATATCTCTTAGGACGTCATTAATTAAGGCTTGAAAGACAGCGGGAGCGTTTACCAGCCCGGACGGAAGAACCCGATATTCGAAGTGACCTAATGGGGTATTAAACGCAATCTTCCATTCATCTCCCTGTTTGATGCGAATAAGGTGGTACGCGTTGCGCAAATCCAATTTAGTGAAGATCTTTGCCCCCTGTAACAACTCAAAGGCGGATGACATTAGCGGCAAGGGATAGCGATTCTTAACGGTAATGTCATTGAGACCCCTATAGTCAATACAGGGGCGCAAAGAGCCGTCTTTCTTTTTAACAAAGAAAAACCCTGCGCCGGCTGGAGAGGAGGAAGCAACTATAGTACCAGCGCGGAGGGACTCGGAAAGATATTTCTCTAACGTGTCGCGCTCGGGAGCAGACAAGGAAAAAAGCCTGCCGCGGGGTGGCGTAGTATCGGGAAGAAGATCAATACTGCAATCATAGGGACGGTGAGGAGGGAGAGAAGTGGCCCTGGAACGACTGAAAACCGCCCGCAAATCATGATAATCCTCCGGGACCCCAGTCAAATCACCCGGCTCCTCCTGAAACACAGAGACGGGGGAAACAGGAGGATTAGCAGACAATAAACAGTCGACATGACAAGACAGGCTCCACGAGAGGATGCTATTATTTGACCAGTTAATGTGAGGGTTGTGTTTAACTAGCCAAGGGTGTCCTAGTACTACTGGGGAATAAGGGGAGTGAAAAATTAAAAAAGAAAGAGTCTCATGGTGGTTGCCTGACACAGTGAGAGATAAGGGGATGGACCGCAGATGAACCTCAGGAAGGGAACTACCGTCTAGGGCAAAAAGGGGAGTGGTCTCATCGCGTTTCCTCAGGGGAATACCTTGTTTAAAGGTGATGATACACAGGGCAACTTTTTGAGCAATGTTGCTGGGCAATCTTGCCGAGCGATTGTTGCTTGGGCACTTTCCCATTGAAAATGGGCAATACATTTCTATCTGGATACTTAAGGTCGGTTGTGGGGCCTGTGTCTCATCTGGTTGCCCGTTGACGGCAACATTGCCCAGCAACATTGCTCAAAAAGTTGCTCTGTGTATCATCACCTTAAGTGCCCAAGTCTCGTCAAGGAAGTTCCCCTCAGCACCAGAGTCTATCAAAGCGTTACAAGAAACTGAAAAGTCAGACCAGTGCAGGACTACAGGAATGATGGTGCATGACTTCGATGGAGAGATCAGAGAGGTAGCGCTCGCCAGTAATCCCTCCTCTACTGGCAAGCGCTGGCTTTTACTGGACATGCAGAAACATAATGGTTGGCCGCCCCGCAATACATGCAAAGACGATTGATGACGCGGCGTTCCCTCTCCTTGGCAGAAATGCGGACACCACCAAGTTGCATAGGCTCTGGATCTGGGTTGGTAGAAAGAGGGGCGGAGATAGTTGAAACAGCCGGTTGAGTGAAGGAATCCAATCCCCTTGTACGACGGCGGAGGTCAAACCGCTTCTCGACACGGATGGCTAACTCGATGAGAGGATTAAGACGGGTGGGTAGTTCGCGGGCGACTACCTCGTCCTTGACGTTTGCACTAAGCCCCTCTAGGAAACGTGCGACAAGAGCTGGCTCATTCCATCCACAGGTGGTTGACAGGGTGCGGAACTCAATGGAATAATCCACAACAGTACGTCTTCCCTGGCGAAGAGATGAAAGAATGCAAGACGCCTCTTCTCCATGAGCAGAACGATCGAACACACGTATCATCTCTTCCTTGAATAAATCGAAACAGGTGGTGAAGTCTACCTCAGCCTCCCAGGCGGCGGTGCCCCACTCACGAGCGCGCCCGGTCAAGAGAGAGATGACGTAAGCTACCCGGGCTCGCTCTCTTGAATAAGTAGTCGGCTGAAGGGAGAAAACAACCTCACACTGTTCGCTGGGTCCATGGCTGGCCAGATTATTCTGTTATGAGAGAAGGTAAGACCCAAAAGCGAATTGCCGATAACAGTCTCTTTAATTGTGAGAGTGAATTCAGTCCAACAGAAATATACTTTGAGATAACCAACAGAAAGGCAGCTGTAAATGCTGGCGCTCCAATAACAAAAATGAGAAAGTATCTCCTTAAAGTAGACAGCGGCACACATATTAAGAACAGGGTCCGGCGGACGCTCCTCTCCGATCCCTCGAGAATGAGCGCTCTACTGGACTGCAGAGAATAAAGCCCAGGACGTTCGTCTGCAGCAGGCGGGCTGGACAGAGTGTAGAGCAGGGGTTAATATGGAACAAATAGATATAGACCTGAACAGGCTGGATGACGGATCAAACTCAGACAGGACAGGGACAGGACAGATACAGCAGGTCAAAAGATGCCTCTTGCATGAGTAGAGAACGGAATAATCTGGCAAAGAAACAGGGAAAAGGGAGAGCAGGAAATAGCACAGACAATTAGGGAAAAGAGAGAACAGGTGTGAGAGAATGAGTGTGACAAGGGTATAACTAGAAACAGCTGAGGGTGACTAAAGGTGTGTGAGGTAGTGTGTGTGTGTAACCAGAAGAGGGAGCTAGAAGGATACCAGACTCATGACACAACAATCTGGGGATGGGTGGACATGTAAATGAACTCGTATCGAACCGTGACCCAGAATCCGAGGTACTTACCGAACCCTGACTTCTGTGCACCGTTACACCCCTGATGTCTATTGAATAAAACATATCTTTAGGACCTTTTAAACTTGTTTTGCATTTGAATGTGTGCGCCAGACTGTTTAATCAAGTAAATTTGTTTTTCTTTGTCTGTTTTTCTCTCTAGTCGGAGAGGAGGATGAGTTGTCCATAAAGGGTGCTGTGGACGCTGTGGTTGAAGCGATGGGTTTCAAAGGTGACGTGATTGTATCCTTTCACACACAATTACTGTGAAAATCTTTCGTTTTTACAGAACGCCATTCTTTGATCTGTGGGACACAAAATAAGGCAGTTTGCAGACTTTACAGATTGTTCTTGAGCTGTTGAGCTTCAAAATGCATCATAAAAGTAGTCCTTGAATTACAGAGTTTTCTTAACTAACCGCTCTCAGTATGACACTAGTAAAGCAGACGGTCAATTCAAGAAAACCGCCAGTAACGCCAAACTGTGTAAATACCTGCCAGACTTCAAGTTCACACCGTTCAAAGCAGGTGATAAATCTTCACTTCTCGCTTCAGCATTAACTAAATGTTTTTCAATAGTAGTCGAAAGAACAGTCATTAAAAGTGCTTTTATTTTTTCCAGCTATGAAGGAGACGTGCGATTGGTTTGTGGCCAATTATGACATCGCCCGTAAATGAAGATCTTCACATCTCATTGGACGAGGTTCTGGATTTCATAGTAGCTTTCATTGGCCAAGGACCAGAGGCCGTCTGACTGAAGTGTAAAACAACCAATCACAGTTCGTTTTGTGCAGCATCACGTTTAGGGACGTGAAAAATTAAAGTCGATGTTCCTACATTAACAGACCAGCTTGTAAAACTCTTAGGTATATTTTAAAGAGTATGCTGTAAACTTCTCATACTTTTTTAAAACACAATATTTAGTTGATCATAAGCGTTTATTGTTACAGTTGTAAACACTTCGGCTTTCTGTATTGGTTCGATGTCACACATCTGGTGTCTGGTAGAATCCAAAGCAATCAGATGATGACTTCGAAACTCCTGAAGTGTTTCCAGTTTTGTGTGACATATGCATTAGGGTGCTTTCACATCTGTAGTTCGGTTCATTTGATCCAGACCAAGGGCGAAAAATTATACTTTGTAGCATTTATCAGGCATTTTGGTTCCTTTTCACGCCACACTGATTGCTCTGGTCCGAATCAGTTGATGAGTTGATGAAACGAACCAAAATATAGTCACGTGACAACATCCACATCACTCATTGGCCAGATGTGTCTTGAACATATTTCCATAACTGCACTTCGTTTGGTCAGAATTAATGTGCGGGAAAATTCCAACAGAACTCCTGGAAGTAAAGAAGAGGAGGAAGATTCGCTCACAATGTATGTTCAGAATCAGCACGAGCTTTATCCTTTCGCAAATCCCCTCATAAACAACAACGTCTAGACGCGATATAAATAAGAGATTCCCTGTGCAGTGCGGACAACTGCAGTGTTTATGAGGAGAGTTTCAGTGAGAGTGCAGAACGCGGTGAGTCAGTCATGGCTTAAAGGGAGAGCTATTGACAATTTAAGTAATGTTTTTGTTTGACTACGGCAGCTGGTTTAGTCCAAAAACGCGCGGCTCTTTGGCAGTCGGGTCTGTTCGAGGTCGGATCACGTTCTCACCACTAATGAACCGCTCCAGAGTTCGTTTGAAAGCGTACCGAGACCACCTCTTCGAGAAGGTCTCGGTATGCTTGTTTGGTCCGCTTTTGGTGTGCACCCGAGTGCGATCGCTGCATTAACACCGGCCCAAACAAACCGCACTGAGGGGGACAACGAACTCTAGTGCGAACCAACCGAACTGAATGAGCCAGGTGTGAAAGCACTCTCAGACATTCAGCCAACAGTCTGTCTGAAACTAAGACTAGCTGTAGGGAGTTCAATGCTGGAAACCACTGATCAAACATCTTGAACAACCCTTAATCATTTTTATGAATACAAAATCATTGAACACTGCTTTTGTTGCTCTCTTTTCATGTTTATTTAAAGTTTTTCTTAAAGACGTGCATTTTACAGTTCTGCAATTACTAAAACTGCAAAATACTGTTTTCAAATGCATTTATTAAATGCATGGACTGCTTCCCTTCCCTATGGAAGCTTTTTCTGCCACAGAATAAACAAGAAAAAAGGTAATTGTGACTTTTTATCTCACAATACTGACTATTTTTCTCACAATTGTGTGATATAAACTGTTATAAAGTCAGAATTGAGTGATATAAACTCACAATTGAGTGTTATAAAGTCAGTATTACATGTTATTAAGTCACAATTGAGAGATATGAACTCACAATTGCGTGTTAAAAAGTCGGGAATCCTTTCACATCTTGGTAAATGATCGGCCAAACTTGGAAAATGACAACTGAAGTACAGAGAGTTGTTCATTTAATAATAATAATGATATGATAAAATAGTCACAATATGATTTTGGGCTTTAATCGTGCGTCCCTACATTCAATAATGACAAACATGGAGCTCTTTAATCTTTGGATTAATCTTTTTAATCTTTTGTCTTTGGATGATCACATCCCTGGTTTTATTTGTGTTTGCTGCTGTACATTTCCTCTGTTTTTACTGGTCTATCAGGGTATGTTCTGGGTTTATTTTCTAATGTACTGTAATAATACTAAATGATGTGTAATGTGCTTTTCTATATAAAGGATTTTTGGATTGTTTTAATGGTTCCCAATCCTGGAGGGTGGTATTATCATTAAGTGACATGGCATCTGACGCACAGTCTTCATTGGCATGTGCCACTGACATGGCCGAGAAACACTGACACGACACTAATAATGTGCCACTGAATGTTTTGTAATACCAGTGCTATTGTATGTTGTTTATAACCAAAGTTGCAAACTGTCCATTCTAGGAAAGGCAAAATAAATTATCATGGGTGCCTACAAATAACGCATTAACCATTGAGGTTTTACTTTATTTTTCGGGGTAGTAGAGTATTAGCAGACTGGTAGGGTTCGGGTTAGTAGAGTATTAGTAGACTGGTAGGGTTCGGGTTAGTAGAGTATTATTAGACTGGTAGGGTTCGGGGTTAGTAGAGTATTAGTAGACTGGTAGGGTTCGGGGTTAGTAGAGTATTAGTAGACTGGTAGGGATCGGGGTTAGTAGAGTATTAGTAGACTGGTAGGGTTCGGGGTTAGTAGAGTATTAGTAGACTGGTAGGGTTCGGGGTTAGTAGAGTATTAGTAGACTGGTAGGGTTCGGGGTTAGTAGAGTATTAGTAGACTGGTAGGGTTCGGGGTAGTAGAGTATTAGTAGACTGGTAGGGTTCGGGGTAGTAGAGTATTAGTAGACTGGTAGGGTTCGGGGTAGTAGAGTATTAGTAGACTGGTAGGGTTCGGGGTAGTAGAGTATTAGTAGACTGGTAGGGTTCGGGGTTAGTAGAGTATTAGTAGACTGGTAGGGTTCGGGGTAGTAGAGTATTAGTAGACTGGTAGGGTTCGGGGTAGTAGAGTATTAGTAGACTGGTAGGGTTCGGGGTAGAGTATTAGTAGACTGGTAGGGTTCAGGTTAGTAGAGTATTAGTAGACTGGTAGGTTTCGGGGTTAGTAGAGTATTAGTAGACTGGTAGGGTTCGGGGTAGAGTATTAGTAGACTGGTAGGGTTCGGGGTAGTAGAGTATTAGTAGACTGGTAGGGTTCGGGTTAGTAGAGTATTAGTAGACTGGTAGGGTTCGGGGTAGAGTATTAGTAGACTGGTAGGGTTCGGGGTAGTAGAGTATTAGTAGACTGGTAGGGTTCGGGGTTAGTAGAGTATTAGTAGACTGGTAGGGTTCGGGGTAGAGTATTAGTAGACTGGTAGGGTTCGGGGTAGTAGAGTATTAGTAGACTGGTAGGGTTCGGGGTTAGTAGAGTATTAGTAGACTGGTAGGTTTCGGGGTTAGTAGAGTATTAGTAGACTGGTAGGGTTCGGGTTAGTAGAGTATTAGTAGACTGGTAGGGTTCGGGGTTAGTAGAGTATTGGTAGACTGGTAGGGTTCGTGTTAGTAGAGTATTGGTAGACTGGTAGGGTTTGGGTTAGTAGAGTATTGGTAGACTGGTAGGGTTTGGGTTAGTAGAGTATTAGTAGACTGGTAGGGTTCGGGTTAGTAGAGTATTGGTAGACTGGTAGGGTTTGGGTTAGTAGAGTATTAGTAGACTGGTAGGGTTTGGGTTAGTAGAGTATTGGTAGACTGGTAGGGTTTGGGTTAGTAGAGTATTGGTAGTAGGGCTGCAACAACTAATCGATAAAATCGATAATAATCGATTATGAAAATCGTTGTCAACGAATGTCATTATCGATTAGTTGGTCTGCTTACGTCACGGGGAGCGTTTACTGGTGATTGGTTGAAACAGGCCAATCAGGATGCTCTCTGTCTTACACGCGCTTCATGAGGCACACACGCAAGGTCTCTCTCCCTCCGTTGCTCTGCCGCGCGCTCGCGCTACACGGTTTGGAGCACAGTCTCTTCTGTCTCGCATGCGCGCTCTTGCTTGCGTGCTCAAATCCCGGGAGTTTGAACTAATTTGCGAGCCGCTATCAATATGGGGGTGACTTTCAGAACTTCCGGGAGACTTGGGATGTCTGCATTTTGCGTCTCGAGCATCAGGTTGCGCAATCAGTTCGCTCGCAACATAAGTGATGGATTAAAATAGTGCTACCGCAGAAATATTAAATTAAAACGGTCTTTACAAAGCGAAGCACTAAATTTAAAGGCAGTTAATAACAGCAGCAGTAAATTATTGTTTTTTAGTCACTGTACTCAGTGGTTTTCAGCGAATGTTTGTGCACTAATGCATCATTTTTCCTGTCTTTTTAATCAAGCCTGTTAGCTTGCTGCGTACCTCCATTCCGCTCTCTTTATATAGCATTTGTCTACTATTAAGTTTTAATTGTTTTTCAAACGCGATCTACTGCGGCTCTATGTTCACACGCTTGTTTTCAGTCTTTCTATATTTATTATCCTTATAATTCAATTCATTTTAAATAAAAATTAAATGAATTATAAATTTGAGATGTTTTTAGTTTATATCTTCACATCTGAACTTGCCATTGCCATCAGCAATTATCATTAAAAACAATGCAAATATTGATATTTGTAAAACTCAATGTGTGGCTTTTGCACTTTTTAAAGTACACTTTTACACATAAATATCCTAATTTAGGGTTTTAGGTAACACTTTATTTTACGATGTGCCCTTGTTACATATGTTACATGTACTTACTGTAGTAATAACAGTAAATTATGCATAATTACATGCAACTAACCCTCAACCTAATCCTACCCTATTCCTATAGTAAGTATATGTAGTTACTTAATATTACTCTGTCTGTACTTAAATATATAATTACACTGTAACAAGGACACCTTAAAATAAAGTGTAACCGGGTTTTATTTAGTCATAATAAACAAAAAATCTAATTGAATGTTTTACCCGATTAATCGAAGAAATAATCGTCCGATTAATCGATTGTCAAAATAATCGTTAGTTGCAGCCCTAATTGGTAGACTGGTAGGGTTCGGGTTAGTAGAGTATTGGTAGACTGGTAGGGTTCGGGTTAGTAGAGTATTGGTAGACTGGTAGGGTTTGGGTTAGTAGAGTATTGGTAGACTGGTAGGGTTTGGGTTAGTAGAGTATTAGTAGACTGGTAGGGTTTGGGTTAGTAGAGTATTAGTAGACTGGTAGGGTTCGGGTTAGTAGAGTATTAGTATACTGGTAGGGTTCGGGTTAGTAGAGTATTGGTAGACTGGTAGGGTTCGGGTTAGTAGAGTATTAGTA